TAATTTTTACGTCGCCGCCACTGCTTTCCGCCTCACGATTACCCCCACCACCGAGCGTTGAACCACTTACGACTGGCCACGTTGCGCTAGTGGCGTAGGAGTAAGTCGATTCTATAAGATATTTAAGAAACTTAGCTGGGGCGAGGAAAAAAAAATTCTTTCGACTCTATTATCGGTCCTCGTGTAACTTTTGCCTTTATCCTGCATACTTTTTCCTTAACTTTTAATTACGCTCTCTATATTCCTGTTACGCATAATAAATGGCCGATGAATAATGCAAATTATTCTTATAAAAATGATGAAGTTTCTTGCTTAATTTTTGCACAGATACGGAATTATTTAGAAAGCACGTATGGGAAAAGGATATTTTTGGAAATTTCTTCAAACAGATTGGAATAATGAAAATATAGAACGTAAAATATAGCAAAAATACTTATTAATGAAAAAAAAATTTAATTACTTTTCGTCCATATACGTTTCAACGGAAGTGCACGTAACACGAAGAACACGTTATGTAACGCTCCATCAAAAAAGGATTATTCTGAAGAAATCTCGCATCATACTCTTTTTAAAAAGATTTCGATTTCTGTCTGTCTGAATTATATTCTAGAAAAAGATACTCTGGAAAATTATTATTGTTACCGTTCTATGAAACTATAACTTTTTACCGCTACTCGACAGCCTTTATTTTTTCCCCCGAAATGAATTTTATCGTTTAATCGATCAGGGCAGGCTTAATAGTTCCAATTTCTTAGATTCTGTTATTGAGAACGGTGTACAAACGGAGCAAGCAAATCGTTGTGAAAATTTCTCGGCACACATCTCGTTTGTTCCCCGTTTGCACGAACATATCCGAGAAAATGCTGTGCACGCTGGTAACAGTCACGTTCGTGCAAACACGCAACTGCATTATTAATAACACGGTCAGAACGAGAAGAAGTTTATATATATATATTATATTATATTATATATAGTCCATTGTATCAAGTCAAACGTGCGAAATTCATTTCGAATTTTTTGTAAACGTAATCAATTTTTTGGAAACTATTAAAAGAATAATAATATTCGATTTCACGATGAATAAATAATTGGAAACAAATAGTTGGAAAATTATTCACGATTTGAGAATATTATATTTTATTACCTTACCTTCATCAAACAGATATTGAAATCGATGAGATTGAAACGAAGGTTTTTCAAAAAAAAAAAGGGGGGGGGGGGAAAGGTTACTGTTTAAAAATCAAATAAAAAGAATATAGCCCTTAAGAATTCCAGCGTTTGGAATGATACATCGAACTTTCAATTCAATTCATTCCCAGAAATTATTGTAGATGAAGTTAGGTTGGAAAGAGGCAGATGATAATTCGTGCGAAATGCCAACGAGCGAAATTACACGAGCGGCTAATTGCATTCCTAATAACGCGCCAATGTTAATGTAAGGATAGGCTTATATTATGGAGCGCTTTATCACTGGAGTGCAACTGCAATCGCTGGAAATTTTCATGTTTGCTTCAGTTGTTTGCGCGCAATGTCACCACGTAACGAAGTCATCGAATACTCGTAACTCAACAATATCTTACAAACAGAAATGATAATGTAACGCGATGTTTATACCGCGTTGTAACGAAATAATCTTTTAATAATCTCGATTATAAATATATCTTCAATCCTGTAGATCATATAATTGGTAATATTGAACAACAAACAAATTAATGTGAATCGTTTATAAAATTAATAAGCTCGTACTTAAATGCGGATGGAAATATATAGATATTATGGTTGCATCGAGATACGTGCATCAATTTTCTCTCTCTTTTTTTTTTTATTTCATCAACTTCATTCTGTTACTTGCGCAAACACATTGCGTAATTACATTTATCCCCCCGTATATACAATTAAAGGATCGTTATCAAGAAAAACACGCAGTTTCAACATTTCCCTTTCGACGATAAAACGAAAACTTACGACAATCAACACGATTGCACGATTTCATTGCCAAACGCGCAAAAAGTTCCATTTTTCTTTTTTTTTTTTTCGAATATTTTTTCCCGAATTCGAAACTCGTTTCTCATCCGGCTCCTTTTATTGGCGCGACTAAATCGTTTTGCGGATCGTTTCCCGCGAAAACAGAGGATGCGAACGGGCCGAATAATAGCGAGTCGCGGCCCGAATAAAGAATAAACGCGAATGGCGAGTGAAATTTTCGTCGAACGAATTAAAAAACAACAAAAAATAAAAAAAAGAAAAAGAAGGAAAAATGGAATATGGTTGATAAAAGTTTGATACGATCGCGTTCCAACGTGCTCGTGAAATCTGACGCGATGGGTGGTGCGCCGCTTTTAAAAATGAACAAGCGACATGCGAGCACCGGGTCGAAAGATATATTAGAAATTACGTTGTATATCGCGAGAGCATATCGGTGAATTAATTCACAATTTCCCGGAGTCGTTTCGTCACCGCTCTTTCCTTCTCTCTCTCTCTCTCTCTCTCTCTCGATAACTTTACACGATCTCGTATAATCGAGCGTAGAGATCTGCAAAACGTTTGTTGTTAAACACACTTTCGCGCGACAACGGGGTCAACACGTTCGCTGGAATATTCATCAGATTCTGTCCGCTTTTAATCCGCGATTTGTATCGCGATGATGTGTGGCTAAGTGTTTAACTCGCGTCCAATTAACGAATTACGCTGATCGAGCCGCGATATTTCGTCGCTCATACTTCGATATAGGTGGTATTTTCAAGTATTCCATCGTATCATAAACGGATCTATGAGTTTATAAATTTCTTAACAATAATACGTCTTGTTGTCAATATCGCGCAATGATAGTTAACTTCTAGATTTCTTTGTGGACATCTTGGATATTGTAAAAATGTATCCAGATATTTTTCGCGGTGTAAAAAGAATCGTTGTGATTAATTAGCAACAAAGTATAAAACTTTCTTTAAATCGAAGCAAAGAGTAATTGAAAACATATAAAGATATTTTATTCGATAGAGGAAGAATTAGCGAAGAGAAACTTTCAAAAATTCTTTCAACCATGCTTATAATTAAAATGAATGAATTAAATTCTAGAGGAGTCAAATTCATTCGAATAATCCTCTATGAACAAAATAATATGACGAAAAATAACGAGACGAGTAAACAATTTACAGAAAAATACCCAGAAACATAAAGTAGTTTTTTCATAACAATTAACAAATGAACGAACGAATTACAAAAATTCGAGAAATACACTTACAACGCGCTCTTTGAAAAAAATATCTTCTTCGCAAACACAGAGAAGACAACGATCGTGGCCGTGTCCGGTGACAGAAATATGCGCGTTATACCTTTGTTTTATTCGATGATCACGCGAAGTCGGCAGAGGGAGGCGGGAGTGGCGGGCATGCAAACGAATAATTACCGTACAATACTAATAATACGTCGGCGAGAATGGATTTACGTGTTCCATTGCATTAGGGAAATTACCGGAAACACCGGACCGGGCTTCGTTGTTTGACGTGTAAAATCGATGACGAACGCGGCAACAAAACCAACGGAATACTCCGCTTCCGGTTAATGGCCGCCGGCATTATTTTCCACCGCTTTCTCTTTCGTTCGAATTGATTACAAACCCTATGTGCGAGGAAACGTATGCGCGTGTCTCCGTCCGCTCACCCTCCTCCTCCTCCTCCCCCAACCCCCGGCTATTTTAACGTCACGTTCGCCTCTGAGGTTTAATCACCGGAAATCGAACATCTGTCTGCCGTTTCCAGTTTTAACGTTTATCAGTAAAACCGACTTGGAGGCTGATTGTTTGGATTTCTGATTGCGACGAAGGGAGCACGCGGGGAGTCCGTATGTACGCGTAATCAGGCGTCGTTGCACGGAGAAGAGGAAATGGAAACGGCTTTGTTCCAACGATTGAATCGTGTTTGCTCCTTTGTTTCGAATTTGGACCAATTTACTACGAATTTTGACCCCGCGTTTTTAAAACTTTATTCGTGAATTTCCAATTTTTGAGTCATTTCTCGCGTGGGGGATTCGATCCTTTTTTTAAGTTTCGATGCAAGCATCGGTGCTCCACTTATCTCGAAAGTGTGCCAATTTGACACTGCGGATTAATATTTAATGTCTTTATTTTTTTAAGTTATTCTATATATATATATTTCTTTTCATTCGAGTATGGTAATATTTTTTTTTAAATAAGTTTCTTTTATACTTGTAAATTTTTCGTTTCGGATGATTCGAGGTCGATCAATTCGCTTGATTTCGACCAACGATTTAACGTTTAACGTAAACGTGACTTTAACGAATAATATTGCAATGTACGGTAAAATACGGTAAATAATTTATAGTTTGGTTTAGCATGAATTATTTCGATTTCAATGTAGCTAAATAGGATACATATCTTGTATCTTGTTTTACAAGTTTTAAATAGATAATGATTTAGATGTTTAATTACTAATCTACGACTTAATATATACAGCTAAATATACGCGTTAAATAATCGTAATAATGATAATAATCTGAGCAAAAGCGTGGTTTAAAATTTCGACAAAACTGTATAGTTTTCCTCCGTTGAAGGATCTGAAATCATTTCAGCATTTTAATCAAGAGCAATCGATTTCAAAATCAATTTTGCCAAAGCGTCGAGAATGAAACGATTTCGATCCAAAGATATCACGAATTAATACGAAACAATTCGCAATTTGTTTAATTTACGCTAATTAGACGATATCAGATGGCGCGCGAATATTCGCCGAATTCGTTCGCGAACAAATACGGATATTTCGTGATATTCCCGCTGCGATTCTCTCTAATTGGAAAAATTAAACGATCGTTCAACGGGGAGGGAGGATATAGTAGAAACTTGAGAATCACTTTTATCGATTGTGTAAAGCATTTCCTTTTCCGGAAACCGATTCCAACGAATCTCGAACGAGCGTTGCTCGAGCTTTTTCAACGTTGCACGCTTCGAAAAATCGAGAACGATCGATAATCTGGTGTGCGCTCACCTTTGTTATGTCGATTGATGTTTATGTTCTGGCCGTCTTCCCTCTTCCACATCAGTTTCGGTGTTGGATACCCGTCCGCCTTGCACGTGAGCGTGATATTCTGATTTTCACGAACCGCCACCGTGCTCTCGGTGGACAACGAGTCCAAAATGTTGGGCGGCACTTGGGGATAAACAGGAAGAATTTCGATTAATCGATCGATTAATTAAAAATCGTGACGAGCACGCTTTTTCGCCTTGAACATTATATCATCTTTTCCGCTTTGTTCTTCATCGATAAAGAGTTTTGCTTTGCTTTTGCAAAGCAATTCCATTGACCGTTTTCACGATGAATTCCCGTCAAAGGCGTGCTTGGACGCGCCTTTGGCGCGTATAATAAATGTAATAATAGCAACGGCAAGCCGGCGAAAGAAGATTAAATATGCTCACCGACGACTTGAAGGAAGCCGACCTGGCTCATCATCGGGTTCGTGTTTAATTGGCACATATAATAGCCCCGGTCGTCTTGTTGCACGTTGTTGATGTGGAGCAGCCAGGTCTTCTGATTGTCGTGCGACACCGAGAACCTCGGTATCTTCACGACCACGTGCTTGTGGATGGTCAACAACATCTGACGACCCACGTGGATCCACGCCACCTGCAAATCACGATCGCTTCGCTTAACTTGGGGAGAGAAAGGATTTCTTAGATTTTTCTTCAAGCGGACACTTCCCTCCACCCCTTCGAGTTAAATAAATCTATTTTCATAATAATGCGATGGAATAAATTCTCCGCAACAATATGATACAATTTTGTTCGTTCACCTGTGAAAGGAAAAACGACTTCTTTTTTCTACGAATTCTTGAATCGAAATTTATAACACTCTTTTCATCTTCTTTCTTCGCGCCCTACGAATTTCCATATTGAAATATAAAATCATCATAATTCTTAATATTATTTCTTCGATCGCAATAAAAATCGCGTTAAAAAGGAAGATCCATTTCAATTATCCGCGTTATCCATCTCGATTATCCGTCTCTCCTTTCCTCTCGACCGAGGAAAAAAAATCGAACCGAAGCGGCCATTTCTCGAATCTCTCAAATTTCCGCCTTCAATGGACCACGAGCCATCGGATGTTCCACAAGTGGGCGAGCACAATACACGAGGAGGAGCGAGAAGGAAGATAGCCGGGGTGCGCCGCAACGACACGCTGCGCAACCCCGTCTGCATCAGAAATGCTATGAACAAACATTATTACGACCGTATTTTACGCTCGGCTGGGCTAACGTCTCCCTAACTAAGCTCATTCCACGACAAAGCTTATGCACTTTCGAGGATTTCTGGGTTAAACTGGCTCCCCCCCCCCCTCTTTTACCAAGCTACTTCTTTTTCATTTCCTTGGCAACACGCTCGAGAACGCTCGGTTGCGCCACTTTTCCTCCTTTTTATCCTCCCCTCCCTCGTCCACGATATACCACACCTTCCCTGCTCATCCCAAGACCTTGTAACAACACCTCGTTCCGTTTGTCACCGATGAATCAACACTTTGCCACGAGGCTTCGAGCGAGGATTTCTTCACTTCTTCATTTCTTCGGATCGATTCCAATCGTTGCCGTTCGTTCTGCTCTTTCTTGGACCCGAGATCATTGTTCTCGATTTCAAATCGAGAATTTCATTCGATTTTCACGGTAATCCACACAGGATAATTTGCTTAACTTTTTTAGTTTTTTTATCAATATTTCGTTTCGGATAAAGCTGTATGAATATATACTCGTGTTTCGAATCTCTGATTCAAATATACAGTTTTAATTTTTAATATACAGATTCCAGGAATTTATTAATTAGATTATTTTTTTACAATAATAATTTAAAATGGTGATTTAAGAGATATTTTAATTGGAATTTCTGTAAAAATTGTTTTAAAGAAAAATATGGGAATATTGTTTCTCTGTTCGTACAGAATTCAAATTATAAATTCATTTATAATACGAAATTTCATTACAGGGAGAAACAAAATCGTATCGTTTGTTATTGTTGCTCGTAATCTAGAAAAATCATATGTTCATTTTTCAAATTACTTCTAAATTAATGCACTAAATATTCACGAAATATTTTATTATAACTAATATAATCATACGTGTGTTGATTACACGCGAATCGATGAATATTCGAATATCTGTGAATCTAAAAATTAAATATTGAAAATTAAAACCGTATATACATTTGAATTGAAAATTGAAACACGGATATATTTATTGCACATATTACACATTCCACGATTTAAAAAGAGAAAAGATAATTTTAAACTTTTCTTCTTCCTAAAATTTCTCTTTGACCAAATTGTATCTGAATTTTCAAAGAAGTCATTGCGATAATAAAAATAAAGTCCCTATCTGCGGCAATTGAAAGTATTCGAAAAGCATTAACCAAATTGGATCATTTTCATTTATTTTTATTGCTATAAAACGGTTGCTCGCATAATTAGATAACAAACGTCTCGTGCTTGGAAGGATTAAGCGAATCGACGAAACGGAGGAGATCATTCGGCGATTCAAACTCATGGAACAGGATTCGAAACTTCGTTAATTGTTCTTAGGAAGAATGGTTAAATAGAATTGGTGGCTAGAATCGAACACGGCCGACTTTAGCCCTCAATGAGGATCTTTGGCTAATTAGAATCATTCGAAATTGGCGTTTTTCGAAGATTTTCTAAAGGAGAAAGTGGCTTTGAACCGTCAGATGTTAAATTACGCGCAAATTGTTTCCACGTTTAAACGTTTCAACGTCGATGACCCAATTCGTTGATTTAATTCATCAAAAAGATCAAAGGAACGAAGGTGGCTGCACGCGGAGGAACGTCATATCGAGATCAAAAGTAAAAGTAATTGAACTTGGTTAATTCCAAGTTTCGAATATTTCAATCGGAATTTCTTTGATTTCATTATAACGATATCGTATTATTCCAAAGAAATAATTAATACGTTGACACGAATTACTTTTTTTTTTATTTATTATTCTAATTTAATAAAATATTTTCACACGTTTTATACAACAACAGTCAAGTTAAACGACATATAAAAAAATATTGCAAATATTTTACGAAACTAAGGCGAATTTCCTCTTATAAATTATAATAACAAGTGCGACAAATTTTGCCCGACTATTAGCACTTAGTTCAAAAGAAACAGCACATCGGGAACACGATTTTCAACTCTTTTTCACTCTTCTCTTTTCGAGTATATACGATAAATTCCAACAATACGATGTTCGGCCATAAAATAAGATTTTCAGATATTATTCGCTTTAACGACACCTGGCCCGATAAAAATGAAATTCAAGAGTGAAACGTGTTAAATGGATCAATTATTGTTGCGCCATTCGATACGAGTCGAATCGAGTATCGTTAATTCTACACCAGTTACCAAAGAATCGAAGCTAGAGAGGAAAACTGTCCGAAACTTGGTCGCAATACTAGGTGATGGATCGCGAAAAGTGAATGGAGCGCTTGATCGAGAGAGAGGGGAGAGAGAAGAGAGAGAGAGAGAGAGGGAGGAGAAGCTGGCTCTGTGATGCGCAAAGGTAGCTACCGGCGTTATATTGGCCTTTAAACGGTCTCGAGGTAAAGCTCGCGCCATTTGCGGCCTCGATTGAAATCCCTGGCACTGGTTCAAAGTCACAGGCTCAACTGCTGCCGTGACGCTTTACATCGCGAGAAAAAAGCGCCATTTCGATAGCGTCGCGCTTTTTGTCGCGGCCAATCTGTTTAAGAAACTTTTGCCTGCTTCCTCTGTTTTTTTTCCCCCCTCGCTTTTAATCAGAGATTAACTTTGCAAAAGGTCCCTTCCTCGTTCGTGTTTTCATTCGAATTACGTTTATTCGAATGTAACGAAATTTTTTTTAAAAATGTACAAAAAAAAATATTTTACATTTATAATTTTCATATTCATATTATACTTCGACGGTATTGAGCGATCGAACGAACACATTTTATGAAAGAAAAAAAAAAAAAACAACTCTCGTCTCTCTATTCTCTTAACTTTTAAAAGGAAAGAAGAGGATTTCTTTCACGAAAGAGATATATTCTATATATTTACGATGTATTATTATATCACGATACATTAAACGGAACCGCCATCCAATGACAATTTCGATCTCTTCATCGAGCCACTAAGTTTCGAGCTCACTTTCGCTAATATTGATGCTCGTTGGTGCTTCCTTCTCAGCATCGCCCGCGGACAATTGCAATTGCAATTGCACCATAACGACAGTTGGAACAACACAGTTGGAGGTGTCAAGTCACCCCTAGTTTCCTAGCTTTGCTTTTAGCGTTGTTCGCGAAATGTGGGATGAACAGCACTGTTTCACTTCCTACTAAGCTTGCTAACATTGTCCGTTGTCCGTGGTTCGCCTCTCGCGTTGCCTAATATTACCTGCCTCGTTTCTCCTCTCTTTCTATCGCTATTCTAAACAAAAATGGGCTTGTCGCCTCAGTTGCAGATAGTACTTTCATCTTTGGATAAAAAAGAATCACTCTGCATCGTCGAGCTATTTGTTACTTTCGTTTCTGAACATCATTGTCGACTTTGACAGCGCATCGATAAGAATCGGCGAATCACCACTCGAAACAAGACATATCGTATGCAGCATAACGATATCCTAATTTAGGATACAATTTAGGATATCGCATTATTTTGCGACATCAGAGCATATGTTCCAAGCATTTTGTTCAAGCTCTGGTTGAATTCACTCCTCGTGAACACGCAGGGATCATCGAAATCTCGAGAAATATGATAAAATGTTAAATAGGCTGATTTCATCGCTAAGATATTTTGGTGGAAATTAATTTTTGAAGAATTAAGCTCATCAGCGTTTGATATTCCCGAATAGGAGCAGAGTTATAGAGCAGAAATTCGACGCTCATCTTGGACAGAGACGAAGAGGTCGGGCTGTTGGCGCGTGTTGCTATCTATCTCGACAGTCACGCGGATGATTCAGTGCCAATATAGATGGACGGACTGGCCCGATCACTTTTGCACTCGTGTGTCCGTCAACCAAATTGAGTTTTTTTGTACTCTGAAATGACCGGCGCGTATGAAACCGATAAAAGGTTACGGAAAAAGAAATAAACGTAAACTGTGAAAAAAGAAGAGAGAGAGAGAGAGAGGAAAAAAGAAAACACGGTTCAAAATGGAAAGAATAACTTTGTGCGCTTTGACGAGAAATCGAGTCAAGGATTTTTCGAGTTCACCGATTTAGAGTTAATTTCTCGCCACTTGGACGCCGATTAGAAGCTTGTTGCGGATCGATTTTTGACCCGAGGTTGAACACAAGTTTTAAAAGTGGAACTTCGTAAAAGCGTCAGATGCAAATGTCTTGTGGGAGTACTTAAACTCGGCGTCTACATGCAAATGAGATTTTTATTTTTTTTTTTTTTGCGAACGTTGTGTACAAGTGTGTCTGAACGTATAATTTAGGATGATCAATGATTAACTCGTTATATTATCGTTGTTTATTAAACAGAAAAGTCGTCCCACATACATTTAATTTCCGTCAAATTCTGCATCTTTTAAAACACACGTCTTATTACTTTTTCAAACTCCACCAAGCAACAATATAAATTTCCTTCGATATTCTATGAACATTTAAGCGAATTAAAAA